TGTGACAATATTAAGATTTAATTGAATTTCTTTACGCGCAATCAAGTCGACGGCGAGGCAGAATATCGTCTCGCTCATTAGCGTCCGGCAATGTTGCCGGGCACCAGGAAACGCATAGGGAGGCGGCTCACCTCACTTGATGGTGTGCCATGCGGGTTGCTCCTGGTACTTCTGGTACTTCTGGTTATATATAAATATATATATAGTAGAAACTCGATTATCCGGACTAATTGTTGTCGGTAGGCATTCGGATAATCGAACATCCGGATAATCGAATGTATGAAAAAAAAACGATTTTCGTACATATTACGTAATACCTAATGTTGGTGTTTAATTAAAATCAACTAAAGACAAATCAACATTTATTTTATCTTTAAACGATAACACCACTCTCTTACGCTCTGACATTTTTAAGCACAAACGTGACAAGTAACGATGCGACTGCGAACGCGCATTGCGAGGGTGGGTACGTTGCCATGGGTAGCCCGGATAATCGCGAATCCGTATAACTGAGGACCGGATAATCGAGTCTCTAAGGCGAGACTGTGCAGCGGGAGTTACTTAGCGTACTGGATGCACGCTGCGGCTTCTGGATGCTGCAGCTGGACGACGCCAGTGCGGATCTATGTACATTTAATTCACCATTTGGCAGGTATCAATTCTTGCGTTTACCATATGGCACTGTTTCACTTGAGAATATTAGAAAGAGCAAGAGAAATTGGCTTACGGTTTAATAGAAAAGTGCAAATTCGGCGTGGAAGAAAAAAAAACGTTTTTTATAAATGTGGCATGATACCAGATATAAATAAAGTAAAAGCGATTTCGGATATGCTTGTTCCGACTGATAGAAAATCTCTTAGAACGATTAAAAAGCATTTAAGTAGTTAAATGCTTTTTATCTATATAAATAAAAATGAATGTTGATAAGCGCATAACTCAAGAATGGCTGAACGAATTCGGCAAAAAAAATTTTTCATATGTTCCTTAAAGTCCAAGGAAGGTTTTAATAAAGAGAAAAAAGGAAACATTAACGAAAAAACTTTAAATTTATATGTCTAGCGCTGGCTAATATCTATTTAAAACGTACCTAGCGACAAACTCGAGCGAAACGAGGGTGAGCCGTTAGTATACTAATAATAATTTAACATTCAGGTAATAATTAAACATTTCTTTTTCCGAGTCCGTAAGTAAAAAATATAGCGTCATTTTTCTCTTGTAAGACACCATTCCCGATTTCCTGATGTCATAGAGTTTTTACACCATTTCTTTGAAATAAGTATTTTATTTTTATTTTATTTATTTAGGTACAGAAACAGAAAACAAATTAAAAAAAGTACATTTCGTACTAAAATCTAAAAATATCATTTTAAATTTGCTGTCCAATTATATCTGTACACAACATTCAAATAAAAACGTATAATACTCGTAATTATATAAACAAACTTAACCAGAAAGTGAATATTAAAGAACGAGTCTGTGCATTTAAAGTTACATAAAAAATATTAAAAAAACAAAAAGAAAATAATATTTACATTTCATGAGGAAAAAAAGACAAAGAAAAAAAGATAAAGGAGAAGAAACAGAGAGAAAGCTTATCCTAATTATCGAAAATGTAAAGTAAGAACTATAATTTATTTAATTTTTTTCGTTCACTCTTGTGTGCTCAACGTGAGTTTTATTACTATAGAATAGAAAATCCACAAACTGCGCCACTTAATGCCAAAAATGAACATAACTATGGCCATTGCAGCAATATTAGATTATTTAAATCGTATTTGATTTAAAATAAATATAAAAATCGTGCATATATTGTTCTGCTTTTTAATGTTACTACTTTCTTCTTTTTAAAAAAATGTCACAAACGTGATTTATAGTAGGGGAGCCCAAGAGGGGATTTTTGTAGTTACTCAAGCGCGGCAGATTAACATAAAAGAGGTTACCTTGCACTCTATTGAGTACTTTCACCATAATATAAGTCTTCTATATAAAGGCGCGCGTCTAGGGAAGCCGATCAAAATATTTAAAAAATGTTTTGATAAGGTAGAAATACTTGAAACTGTCAGATTAAGGTGTGGTAGGCTAGTCATCATAAACTTTATAGTCGAGTTTTGCCTCTTCGGCTTGTGCAAATCGGCAGATTATTGAATTGGATACTTTTCAGGATGCGACTAGCCTACCACACCTTAATCTGACGGTTTCAAGTATTTCTACCTTATCAAAACATTTTTTAAATATTTTAATCGGCTTCCCTAGACGCGCCCCTTTATATAGAAGACTTACATTATGGTGAAAGTACTCAATAGAGTGCAAGGTAACCTCTTTTATGTTAATCTGCCACGCTCGAGTAACTACAGAAAATCCCCTCTTGGGCTCCCCTACTATTGAACTCGCTTCACTCGGTTTCATAAGATGATATTCGATTATGATAAATTGAAATCCATTAAATAGTAAATAATTAGAGGCAATCTTCCAATTATACTTAGAGACTTACCCTCGCTTCGCTCTGGCCTCTAGATAGTCCGATTCGAATAATATAAAGAGGCAATTATATGTATACTAGCGACTCACTATCGCTTCGCTCGGGTTCATCTGTAGCTACGTTTTAACGGTTAGTATGAAAGGAGTACAAATCTTTGAATTTCTTTGCTTTCTGTACTATAATATGCATGTATTATACATATAAATCTTCCTCTTGAATAACTCTATTTATTGCTGAAAACTGAATTAAAATCTGTTTAGTAGTTTAAAGATCTAAGCAAACAGACCTCCCTGATTTTTTTGTAGGTAATGATGTGTAACTATAAACATGTAGTACATTATATGTATCATGAATAGTTTTCGCAGCGCACGCCATATACCTAATATCCTTTATTCAAAATCGTGTCGGAGCTAAATGAAAATGGAGGAATCGGATCGTCACTTGCAATAAAAAGTACAGCTTTTATAACGCATGCACGTAGAAGTAGCCAAACCATGTCATAAATGCAAGTTGAGTCATAACAAGCTACTGGTGGACTTGTGCTGTGCTATGCATTATTTATTACAGCACGTCTACTGGAGAGTGATATGAAGAATTAAAAGATTCATTTTTTTAGGATTCGGGTAGGTATCTACGTTATTACAGGTAAAATGTAAAATCATCATCTCAGCCCTCAGGATTTATTTAATACAGACATTTATGATCTTCCACTTTAATTATTATGGAAGTGGCAGTCAACAAGTCAAGTTACAATTATTATCTATACATATAATAAAATTGTAACTTAAGTCGAATGTGAACATTAAATATTTTTTGGAAAATCTAATTGAAATAGAAATTATTATTGATACAGTCCAAATGTATAATTTTTAGAATTTTTGTCTGTGCCTGTCTCTCTATTACCGCATCACGAGAAAACCACTCGACATGTTTTGATGAAATTTGGTATGATGATAGCTGGGTATCCGAGTCAACATAATATAGGGTACTTTTTACTGCTAGAAAATAAATAATAATAATATTTTTAGTAGCATTAGTCCAATAAAACAAATAACTATAGGAAATTACCAATATATTATATCTTTAATTCAATGAATTGATTAATGTTTTGGTTTTATTTTATTTTAGTAAAAATATCTACCATTTTTAGTTAAAAGGACAAGTTTTTGTTTCCTACGTTTTGGTTAACTTTATTTTACCTACTTGGTATTCCCAATTAATTAACAGTTTTTCAAATGAACGACAAATTAATGTTAATCCAATTCCATAACAATTAAGTTTTTAATTTTATAATTTACTTTAAACTTCAGACGATATAACATGCGTTTATGTCTGTTCGTTTGTAAATTTGCCTGTTCAACAATTAGCTTGAAATCGATTAATAAATGAAATATTTGTTACGCTATATACATTGAACTATATTAAGCAGACAAGGCTTAAAAGCAGAGTATAATTTAAAAATATATAATAATTAAAAAATATATGTATTTACTCTATCTTAATACAGCGTGAGCTGTCCATGTTTAGACTAAATAGAATACGAAGTTGCATGGAAAGCTGCTAGATTAAGATCTGCTAGGTCAAGATCTGCTAGATCAAAATTAAGATGAACAGTGTTTCTTTGGTTGTGAACGTCTGTTGACTTGTCTCTGAATCAAAAGTCAAAAGTTTGCTCTAGCTATTATTCTAAGCCCAATCTGACTCATATAATAAATAATAATTCGTTATAACTTATAAAGCTTAAGGATTATAATAAGAATAAACACAAACGTGAATTAAGCCTGGAATTAAAAACGAGAAAAAGTAAACACTACATTCCTACATAGTACGAATAAGAACGTAGTAAGCCGGTCAAAGATAGTGCGAGTGGTTATAAACAGGCTTTGCAGCTATGCTATCAAAGAAGTATGCAATTGTGCAGGTTTCGCCATAGCAAAATAGTTGTGTTCGATTGCTTTATCTATGCAGTCTTTTACATAATATGGTATGTAAGGCAAGATCTTAACATAAAGGATTTGGTGGCTGTTAGTTTAAAAATCTTATTAACTAGTCCTTGAACTTTGTGAGACTCATACGGTACCTACTATAGCGAAAAACATACCTACTTTCGATTGTCTATACTAACAATAAGCAAATTTTTTTGCGAAATAATATAAAATGTCTACAAAAAAATTATAGGAATCTCAGCTTTGTGTTAGCTAATTTTTAATATTATTTTTTGCCTGTATGATAAATGAAAAAGTCTACCTTAAGAGGTTAAATTTCAAGGTTCGAGAAATGTTTGTTAGGTTAAGTATTCGCTAACAACTTTAATATTAGCATGTAATGTACTTGAATTGATTCCAAACGAAGCCGAATCAATTTATATCAAATAGGGAAAGCGGGATATCAGGGAGGGGAAGTGGGGCGCATCGCATACCTGTCTTCATACGTAGGAGAAGCGCCTCCGGAACCACCCTGGGACACGTCTACGTCCATTTCGGCGACAATAAGTATGCAGTACTAAGGTCAGAGCCGGTCAGGATCGGTTAGCGATCACAGTGCACACACCAGCGGGTGCGGCTGTCACAGTGTGCGCACAGAGTGGCGCTAAATACGGCGTGTAAGAGAGCGCTCTCGGTGCCGACTGCCGACTGCCGAGTGCCGACTGGTCGGCGACATGCAGCGGCTCGGCGGCCGAAAACGTGTTGCGGGCGAGACGTGCGGTCGAGACGCGCGGGCGGCACAGGGCGCGGGCGTGAGAATGCAGCGCCCCGACGCCCGCGCGTCGCCAGGCAACGCCGCGGCCGCACGTGGCCCGCGCCCCGCGCCCGCGACACAGCACCGCTTTCTGCTGCACACACCAAACCACGCACAAAACACCGTATCGTCGTGTGCACTGTACAGTATACACTGGTGTACACTTCATGAGTTCATGACTCAATCATATGTAACACATCTATACATTAAACTTATTATGTTATTGAAATTTCCCTGCTTTCATAGCCCGCGCTTGCCAATGTTAATTGACAGATATTAATTCGATATTAAGACAATGCCACACTTAAATGCTTATAAATAAATGCTTTTTTTCATTAATTATACTTTCTAGTTTTAATTTTCAGAATTGTCAATTTTGCAAGATTACTTTTTCAAAATTTCTATTTTATAATACCTTCTGCGAAAACGGTTATATTTACCTAAGAAATATGATGCCGACGGATGATATTTAATTATGTTTAAAGAAACCAATAAACAATATTTAGAAAATTAGTTGCAATCGATTTATTGAACTTGAAGATACCTACATGGGTTTATTATATCAAATGCTATCGCTTAAAGCGAACGTCTCAAAGGTCCGGAGCCCTTGTTGGAAGCTTATCGACATTGAATAAACAAATATTTGTTTTATTAGGGTCAAATATAAGTTTTTAGAAATTTTGTGTCAATTTAAATCATAGTACTTTATTCAAGAATGACTGGCTGTGAACAGTCACTAAACATGAATCCTAGTGCGCGTGCGACGGTGACGTCAAGTGGAAGGTATCTTAGGTTGTTAACGACCGATTAAATAGAAAGATTAATTATTTTTAAAAATAGTTTTTAGAAATAACTAAAAATATCTATATAAAAATCTACCCCTCTTACTCAACTCAGACCTACTCGTAAGTAGGGGAGCGGGGGGCACGTTGTTACAATTTTTAGATAAATGTCAATATGACAAAAGCTATCAAATAATTTATACATTTGATTGCTTTTATCGTTAGTATGTCTATTCAGCTATTAAAATATGATTGAAAAGTTATTAAAATTCATGTATTTTTTTCACAATCGACAATTTAACCAAAAAAGTCGATTGTAACAACTTACCCCACATTTGGGGTTAGTTGTTACATCTTCGGGGCACGATGTTACGATAGATAAATAAACAAAATCATCAGTTATAAATCATTTTTATTATTATTTGATAACGTTATAAACAAAAGAGATCACTTTAAACAGTTTTCTAACATTTATGAGTAATAATAATATCTATATCGTAATTTTAGAAGATTTTTTTTTGTAGAAAAATAACATAACTTTGGCAGGAACTTTTTTAAATCTTATATAAAAACACAGAAACTTCGTCTGCAAATAACAACTTGTAATAAATTATTTATACTTATTAGTTATTTTAATAAACTTTTAATAAACTAAAATACTTTGGATTCTAACATTTTTTAGGGTAGGTACTTATATTATAGAAAAATATATAGTTATTTATATTGAGGTAGGTAACAATATCACATACTAATATTAAATTAGCCTTCATCAGAATTGCAATTAATGCAAATGAATGAGTGAACGTTTCCCGTTACACATTTAACATGGGCCCACATTTTGCATTCTAAGCATTCTACCCAATCTTCTTTTTTCGAGGTGCTGTAACTTTCGCTAAACACTAAACAAAACCATTCATCAGAATCGGAATCTGAGTCGGAAACCAATATTTTTTTTCTTTACCTTATCTTTACCTTCTTCGCTCATTTTCGAGGACTTTCCTTTACCTTTTCCTTTATTTTTGTCACACGTTTTTTTGGTCTTGGCCAGTTTTTCTTCATACTCTTTTTTTAATGAGTCTTTTTCAGGCGTGTCGGTTAACACAGCCGATTTGCGTTTACGACGAGTATGGATGGATTGTTTTCGAGTTTCTTGCTTTTCCTGGATGATTATACATCCAGACTGTCTGTGCTCGATTAAGGTGGTTTTTAAAAGGACCATAAACTCCCACATCTAATGGTTGTAAATTGTGAGAGCAGAGCGCGTATTATTTTTAAGCCAGCTGGGGGGATTTTTTAAATTGAGTTTTACAGCACATTGGTAAGCTAATTTTCGAACTTCTATTGGTAGTAAACCAAAATATATTTCTGAATGTTTGAGTAGATAGGAAGCTAATTTATGTTCTGTTTCTTGTGAGAATATCAATCTAGGTTTAACGTAACCCAATAAACAACTTTCGTTGTTTTTGTTTTTTCTGACATATCTGGATAAGGACATCGGACACAAATTAAACATTTCGCTTACCCTACGAATGCTCATTTTATTCTGCAGTACTTCTGCTCCAGCAGATTCATAAACTTCTTGACTAGTTGTACCTCTTTCTGTTTTTCTTTTATAGTTTCTCATTCTAAAAAAAAAACAGAATAATTAAAATTTTTAAAATTAGGTATGGTAATTTTTTTTGTTGTTACATGTAACAACTTACCCCAAAAAATTGTAACTACCTGCCCCATGGGACGTTTTTTAATATAAATTGAAGTCACCATTAATGGGTATCGATAGTAGAAAAAAACAATATTGCAAATTAAAGGTAGATATATTATGAACGTTCAAGGTTAAAAATTTTGAGAAAATAAAAAATATAGACATCAGGAATCAAAAATTTCGGAAAGGATTTTTTTACTTACTTGGTTGAAATCGAGACACATGCACACAACCTAGCAGCTTGGCGCTTGACGGGTCACTGGTCGTTTTTATGTAATGCACGATGTTATAAGAAAACAAATGAGACCAATTATGTCCATCAAAGAGTTTAAAATCCCGGTAAAAAAGGCGTGTAACTACTTACCCCTGCAACAACTAGCCCCCCGCTCCCCTACACCGCAAAGGTAGGCAATGTTACATTTTTTTGCAAAATCAAATAATAGAAGAAAAAAAATCTGGATCTGAAAGCAGCCTATCTATACAGATAAATAAAATGAAAGTGTTTGTAATAACACGTTGTTTGTTCCGACTAATCTCTGAAACGGCTGGACCGATTTTGACGGAACTTTCACTGGCAGATAGCAGACGTTATGATGAGTAACTTGGCTACTTTTATTTTAGAAAAAGAATTAGGGTCCGGTCCGACCACTGTTGAAATTTAGTGACACACCGACCGAATTCAAATCTTGCAGGGACCCACTCGAACATACACAAAAATTATTATTAAAATCGTCCCTGCGATTTAGAAGAAGATCAGTGGCACACTGACTGCAGCGCCACCTACTGGGTCCAATTGTATTTTCAAACTATCCAGGAGCCCATTGAAATACACACACAAAATTTCATCCAAATCGGTCCAGTCCTTTAGGAGGGTTAGGTTAACAAACACACGTACAGAAGAATTATATATATTAAGATATACTTTCCGTATAATATGCTTTTCTATAAATATATGATTGTAATATGCCTAAAGGCAGTGGTAGCCCAGTGGTGACGCGCTCCCATGAGTAACCGAGCCAGTTCAAATCCCGGGTCTCGCACCTCTGATATTTTCATGTGCGAATCATTTTCGACATGATTACCACTTGCCTTACGGTGAAAGAAAACATCGTGAGAAAACCTGCATGTCCGAGAGAACCTAGCAAGTTTTCGAAAGACATGTGAAGTCTGCCAACCCGCACTTGGCCAGCGTGGTGACTATGGCCTGATATTGAAGGGAAGCCCGTGCTCAGCAGTGGGACGTTAAGAAGGGCTGAATACACACAACACAATATGCCTAATATGCCTTATTTAATTATTGGAAATAGAATACATTAAACATGAAGTGCAAATAATCAAATTACTGAAATTGAAATTATTACTGAATATTATGTAATGTATATTTATGTCAAGTAAAATGTAAAATTACTTTTATACTTGGTAGAAATATTATTAAAAAAACCTTTATAATTATCCTACTCCTGATACTCTATATTCATGTCATTCTTTCGTAGGTTAAGTTTCACTTCTTCCATGTATGAAAAATTAGTTTGTACACGAACACACTTTTTTGTAAATTGGAATAGATACAAATAATTTTAAGATATGGATATTTTTACCAAAACTAGAGAGATTTTTTTTGGATAATGCACACTACCACTCCAGAAAATAATAAAATTTACAAAAAATAAAAAACACCGACTGCATAAAAAGCGAACTAAAAAGAAGACAAAAATTGACGAAGATTAGATTCTGCCGTCGCGTCGCATAGTCAATTTGAATATTATATTAGTATGGAATAGATTAATTTCTTTTCAATTTTTTTTGTGAATTTTCCGATGTTTTGATAGTTATTCTGCTATTCGGGGTGAAGACAAATCCAACAAAACAAAGATCATAAAATCGGTCCAGCAGTTCTCGAGTTACAGTTGTTGTAACAAACCCAACTTTGTTTTATATACATAGTCTGGCCCTAATTACTGTTACAGTTAAATATAAACAAAGTATTACATTTGAATTTGTAATCTGACATTTTTATATGATTGTTCATTGTATTTTCTCATTTTAGCGTTCATACATTGTAAAATATTTTGTGATATTGAAATGGAGTGAGGTGATAAAGAGAAAGAATCGCGCAAACAAATTAAAACCAATAAGATCGTGAACAAAATCCGCGTAGGTACCTACCTAGAATTGCACCCGAGCGAAATGAGGATAAATCGCTAGTTGACAATATGTGTTAAAATTTTGGAAATAAAAGGTCAAGTCCCCGTGAGCTCTTTTTTTACCTTTGGTAAACTACCTAAACCTATGGAGTAGATATATCATTTTATTTGAGTGCATGCACATAACGCATATATGCGTTATGTGCATGCACTCAAATAAAATGAAACACAAAAACAGTAAAGGATTGAAGTAAGATTATTTCAAAATTAAATAAAAACGTGAATTTACCTAAATGATTTATATATATAAATTATGATAATATTTCAGTCCCATAAGTTATAAAATAAACAAACCCAACCAGAACAAAAAAAACGTATGATAATAATTAATAAATCATGTAACCTCCCGATCCTACCTCTATAACCTCTTTTTACCCGACTGCGGCGAACTGCGGTGAACGAATATGAATAAATTGTTTTAATATTTTGGAAAAATATAACCTATAATATTTGTATTATAGGTAAGAGTGCGAAAAAAAATTGAAAATAAAATAAAAACGGAAAAGTTGTCGACCATTTAGAATTTGGTTCTTTTTCCTAAAAATCTGTTTTGACGGGGCCCTCTCTTGTGGAGGGCCCGGGGCTGTAGCCCAGGCTGCCCTCCTCTAAATCGGGCCCTGATACAAGATACGAAACTTAAATAAATATGAATAAATCCTTAAATCATGAATTAACTCAATTAAAATTAAGTAAATAATAACTGTTTAAGTTAGATTAACTTATCGTTTCTAGAGATATTGTAAAAACTCAGGTATAAAATATAAATCGTTAGCAAATTAAGTTTTTAATTTTATAATGGTTCTACAATGAAGTACACACGTACGCAGTAAACATTAGTTTGAGTATGTACTCAGTGCCTATTCCTAGTTCATCTAAGATCTGCGCAAAGACCAATTCTTTTGTTAAAGCATTAAAACTGGGTCACTAACATCGTAGAGTGTGGTGAGGATGGGTGTGTCGATAGCTCCTATCCAGAAATCTTTTACGATGTAGGAACATCGTCGAACAATCGAATTTCCTAGGAAGGAATATGATGCTTACCAGCTTACCTAGAGTTAGCGTCTAGATATCTGCCTTTATTTTTTTGTAAATGTAATCGAATTCATTTCGCTTAGCTCTATATTGACTTGGTTTAACCAATAGCACATCTTATCTGGTTAACAATTAATCTTATTTACAAATTGGTATATATATTTAAAAATATAAATTATAATAAAACTGATTTATAAAGGGTCCGTTCTTTTCTGGAACTTGAGGTTACGTCTACCGGTTGTGTGATAAAAACTAGTAGCGAGTGATGCAATTGTGTTCAACCAATGACTTGGTATGAGAGTCCGTCATCCGCCGTGACAATCATGCATCTTCATAGTATTTAACTTAACAACAAAAAATCGCCAAGAGAAAAGTTGTTGTAAACTGTCTCGGCCAAAGAAGATATCTAGAGCGATTATGAACATAAAAAATAATATCAAATACTATATTTTCCCATTGCAATAATTAATGAAATTAACGTACTAATCGCCACAGATTTTAATTTCATTTCCCGTGCCTGATAGATATCAGATCTTGACTGTCATTAACTGAACTTTATCATAGAAGCATATTTTAATAAAGTTAACGTTAGTTATCTAATAAATAAACACAAAGTGTATGATTTTGTGTAACGTGCTATGAAGTTACCTGATATAAAATGAAATATTCTAGTAAAAAAATAAATATATTCCTTTTCTATTGTGTAAAATATGAGGTAAGACACTTACAGTTTGTACTAATAGGAAAGCGGAAATATGAGGCGACGATTTCAGTCTACACATAATTGTGTCAGCGGCGCGACTACACGTCGGTAGCATGCCTCCCCAACCCAGCCCAGCCTGCTCCATAAATGTGATGGACCAACGGCCGTTTCATTTAATTTGTCTCGAAAATATAGGTGCTTCCTCATCATGTACGAATTGTTAAAAAGTGGTTTTTGATAACTATTACAACTTGCATGGAACTATTGAAAATGCGAGATACACCAGTGTAACAAATAATTTGGTACGAACTTAATGAAAAATAATGTTTCGCGGGACATCGACACGTTGACATCATAAACTACTCGTATGTTTGTACCTAGCATTAAATATTCCTTAATTTAGTCTTTATTTCATAAAGCTAGCTCAGCTATTTTTGAAGATATTGAAGATTTTCTAACCGACCCTTTTTCTTTGCATTCCATGGTAGGTAGGTTAGGTTAGGTTAGGTTAGGTTATCTGATAGATGGCTCTTGATACAGTAAATATCTAATAATAAATGTTGATTTTAAATATTAAGAGAGCTATTTAT